ATCATTCCCTTCCAAAATAAAAAGGAATACAATTCCTGTTCCCCTTTCAACATTCCTGTCAAACAAATAGACTGTTAGTTCACTCATTTGCCAGAGATTATCAAAGTATATTATTATTATTATTATTGTTTGACACCATTTTCTTGGTGTGCTAGCTGCCCTCCAGTTGATTATTTATCTCGCCATTTTCTCTCAGAATCACTAGTTTGAGTTTGTATAAATCTTTAGTTGTTTAATTATTGTATTTGTTTGAGCTCAAGCTGCCTAGCTAATATCTACATATATTTACGTTACGCCAGAAATGGAATGATTGAGAAGCCACGAATATTTCCTACCCTTGTATTCTCTCTCTCATCACAAGAGTATGATATGCTACTTTCGTGTAACATGTTTCCCCAAAGTTCACAGTGATTAGTCTAAACTGAAAGCCCTGTAGGGGCAATTCTTGCAACCTCAAGGCTCAAGCTTTATTCGTGTATCATCATCTTTCCTTCTTTTTCTTTTCTTCTTTTTCTTTTCAGAAACAAAGGTACGTTTGTTCTTTTCTTCTGGTTTGGGGAATTGTTTATTCAATTTTCGGGGTATAGTACAATAACTTTTCGTACATATGACATGAGAGGAGGCTCCAGAACATGAAACCCAATGCCAAATGACAAGTTTTTGTTTTTTGTTTTTGGGGAATTGTCTAGATACCCTCAAATATTATCAGCCACAGTAATCTGGTCTTTTTACTTATGTATTAATAACTTTTCTATTGTTTCTGAATTTACTATTTACTATTTGTACAAAGATTGTTAATTCATTAAAAAAAAAAAAAAAGAAGAGTTATCGAAATTTAACATCTTGCTCAATTACAATAGTTGCTTTCGTGATGTTAGTATATGTATATATATACGTACCTTTTGAGGTTTTCAGGTGACCATCCTTATAGTGTAGTTAGATTTATTTCGAGCTAGTACTTAGCTTGCTCGTCTTTTTTTTTATGATTTAGGTTTATTGGTTCTCATTATTCATTATTGCTTTCTTATATATGTTAATTAATTAAAAGAAATTTATAATAAAACTCATTTCTTGTATTGATTTTATATATAAATCCTAAAACCTATAAATTGAAGAAAAAAACCAAAACGAGGGTAAGCTGTAATATTTTTTTAATTTGAATGATGTGTGGAAAAAAAAACAAAACAAAGGTAAGCTGCATTATGAATTTTAGAAAGAAAAAAAACATTGATTGTATTGTTTTAATTTCAGAATATGGATGCTACTAAAGTCGTCTGTACATATGATTCGTTTTTGGGGAAGCCACGTAGGCTGTAGCACTACGCGCGTTTGGTTTGCAGAATGGGTTCTTTCAAAATGAAATTGTCCTGCCTATTGCAAGTGCATGAAAATGAAAAAGTTTTAGGGTTCTTTACAGATAGACTCATTTTAATATGACATACTGTACATATAGGGTTTATTTGGAGAGAAAAATTCAAAATTGCCACTTGTCATTATTTGATTGGTTCTTGTAAAATTTTAACACACTAAGAACTAATTAGAAATTGACAAGTGGCAGTTTTCATCTCTCCAAATATGCTCTATATGAGTTTTTTTTTTTTTGTATAATATGTCATGCTAAAATGGATTGTTGAATAATTATCTCAAACTTTTATTCTAGTGTTTGAAAATTCTTGAAAATGAAAACGATGAAATACCTTCTTTTTTCTTCTTTTCCATTTTCTCGTTTAGTTTATGCAGTAAGAAGAATCAAAATTTGTTGCATGTACGTAATTAAAAGTAGCATTTTAAGCTTACAACCATTAGATGTGTAATTTGGACACATTAGATGTGTTCTCCAGTCATTTTAATAAAACTCTCAAGATGACGAAGGTATATGTACGAATTCCTCCATTCATGGGTTTCTAAACCTATGTATGTGGGTTTGTTTTCATTGTCGGTCTTTACTAAACACTGGATTGGTTTCATTGTGTGGGAAATTTGCTGAACAGGACAAGTCTGGTCTACTTTTCTTCTTTAATTTTTCAAATTTTGGCAGTAAAGCCAAAATTTGAAAAATGCAGTAAAGCCAAAATTTGAAAAATGCATAAAATCAGAGTTTTGAGTTTCTTACCATATTTATTTCAAAGGAAAAATGGGCATGCATAAAAAATGAGATCTAAATACTAATGGGTCTAGATCAGAAAAAGAAAAGACATGGGTCAAATCGAATAAAAGCCGAACCTTTTGGGCCCTAAACAAATCTCAACCTACTTTCTTATCCACATTATATTATAAATAAATAATAAAAAACCCGAAGTATTAAACCGGATCCTAAGTTTTAATTGTATTTGATTGAACTATCGGATTAGTTACATCAAGAATGATTATTTTGAGATATATTGTTTTGTATTTGTGACTAGTTCAGGTTGGTTTATACGAAAACCAAAAAGGGTAATCAGAAATAAGTAGAAAAACCACTTACTAATGCAATTGTTTATATTTCAGGACTATCTCTGAGATTATTATTCATGTTCTTGCACGTGTGGCCCATATCGTGCGGTTAGTATATGCATATAACTTTTGGTCGAAAGGTTTATTGGTTCTTATTATTATTCATTATTGTTTTCTTATATATGTTAATTAATTTATGCCTATATTGAAGTAAGTAAATACAAGAAATCAAAAAAGGACAAATTAACCTGCAATTGTTTATATTTCAGGACTCTCGTTCAGATTATTGTGGGCATTCTCGCATTTGTGGCCAAAATCGTGAGGTTAGTATATGTACATATATATACGTACTTTTTAGGGCTTTCAGATAACCATCCTTATAGTATAGCTAGATACTAGTTAGATTTATACTAGTTAGATTTAGTTCGAGCTAGTACTTAGCTTGCTAGTCTTATTTATTTATTTATTTATATAATGATTTAAGTTTATTGGTTCTCATTATTCATTATTGTTTTCTTAAGTCATGTGGGACGTCTCAATTAATGTTCAACAATTTAATTTAGTAACTAACTTGTCTTTCAAGTATTGGTCCCAATCAACCTTTGTTGACTGTGTCAAGTGTCGGGTCAACATTTGACCTTTGATTTTGACCAAACCACAAAATTTCTTTCTCTCGTCTAATTCTCAATCCACTCCTTTTCGGTGCGCGATCTCATGGGTTCTAATTTGCTAGGCAATGGGTAAGTCCAATTGTATTCCTTCAGACAATTCTCCCTATTGGCAAATGCTAACTGTAATTAGGCCTTAGAGGGCTTCCACAAGCCATAGTTGACACCTAGCAGTATGTTATGGCTACCCAAGCTAAATAGAATTCATTGGAGAACCTAGTCAATTGTGATTGCAATGCAATTCGATCCTTCTCCAAAACAATACTCCATGTCACATTTGGGATACAATGAACTCGTGTCAAATCAATAATGCAACATTTCTAGGTTATACGATTCACTTGGATGGGATTGCAAATATTCTTCGTTTAACTCCGATTTTTGAATCGTTTGTGCCTACGAGTTTGTGAGATGTAACTCTATTTTTCTAGTTAAGAATCATAATTTTCTCACTTTAACTTCTTGTACTTCATTTGAAAAATCACAAACTTTAGTATATAAGGGCATTTTGGTCCAAATTGAAATTAAACACACTTAATCCAACATTCTCAATCCAAAATCACTTGATAAAATACCCATAATTATTCTACACCATAATATTTTTTTAACCGAAATAAAAAAAAATCCACTTCAAATTTTTCGTGGTATTACACTTTATCTCTTCTAGTTCTTTGAGTTGGTGTTGCCGTTAATATAGCCTTTTTCTCTTTTTGTCGAGAGGAAGAAGCTCGGTGTGAAAAATCAAGTTTTAAAAATTAAAAATTGATCCCAGATTCGGATTATTTTGAAAAAATAATCATGACCTGAATCTATTTTGGAAAAAAAAAAACCCCTAAAAGAATGAAGATTGAGATTGAGAGAGAGAGAGAGAGGGAATTGGTTTTTGAAAGCTTTATTCGCGTAACATCATCTTTTCTTCTTTTTCTTTCCGGAAACAAAAGTACGCTTGTTCTTTTCTTCTGGTTTGGGGAATTGTTTATTCAATTTTCGGGGTATATTACAATAACTTTTCGTACATATGATATGAGAGGAGGCTCCAGAACATGAAACCCAAAGCCAAATGACATGCTTATACGGCACTTCAAATATTATCAGCCACAGTAATCTGGTCTTTTTATTTATGTATAAATAACTTTTTTATTGTTCACTAAAAAAGGAGTGTAAGTGGATAAAATAGGAGAAAAAAGAGTGGGGAAATCACCACTCTTTTTTAATTAACTACTTGTACATCTCATGGCAAATTAGTAGTGTGTGTGAGAAATTACCCTCCTCTTTATAATTTAGATTATCGCTTGTCGTTCAGCATCTCTTACAAAGGTTGTTCATTCCTTAAAAAAAATAACTAAACTTAAATGAAATTGGTGTGTATACAATCAAATCTTATGAATTAGTGAGCATATTTTGTAAATAACACGGTTTATCAGTGCAAAAATGATATGTAATCTCAAAGATTAAATATAAGCATGTCTCAAAGTTTCGTTAAAAATTTACATATTTGTATAACAATTTTCATAATTTTTATTCAATCTTCACCGATATTTCAGAATTTATCTAAAAATTTACATATTTGTATAACAATTTTTTTATTCAATCTTCACTTTCCATAAAAATTTATGTATTTTGAGACCCCGATATTTCAGAAGTGATCGAAGTTTAACACCTTGCTTACAATATCCAAAAGGAATTAACAGCTCAATTACAATAGTAGCTTCATTTACTTTTTATTTTTAATAGGTATTAGCTGACTAGAGTCAACTGTCCAGCTCATCAAGTTTTGTTATTGTCCTGTATAAAAGGCAACTGTGCCTTCATTCAATGCATATACAGACAAATAGAAATCAGTTTTTCTCTCCAGATTTTTTTCGTTTGGCTTTCTTCGATTCACACACATCCTCTGTTTCCATGGATGTGGAAGGGGGAGAGGTAACCATCCCTTCAAGTTCCAGGTAAGTCGTCATTTGTTTTTCTAATGCGTATATATTACAGCTTTATTCACGAATACGGGGAAAGCCACGTAGGCTGTAGCACTACACGCGTTTAGTTCGCAGAATGGGTTCTTTCAAAATGAAATTGTCCTGCCTATTTCAAGCGCATGAAAATGAAAAAGTAGTCCATTTTAACATAACATATTATATCTAGAGGGTCTATATATTTGGAGAGAAAAATTCAAAATTGCTACATATTATACATATGGGGTCTATTTTAACCCGAAGTATTACACCGGATTTTAAGTTTTAATTGTATTTGATTTGTTGGATTTGATTGAACTATCAAATGAGATCACCTTAATCCACCATTAGTTACATCAAGAATTATTATTTTGAGATATATTGTTTTGTATTTGTCTTTTATTTCCTGACTAGTTCAGGTTGGTTTATACGAAAACCAAAAAGGGTAATCAGAAATATTTATTTTAAGATGACTTTTGTTGAAGAAATAAGAAGGAAAACCACTTACTAATGCAATTGTTTATATTTCAGGACTATCCCTGAGATTATTATTCATGTTCTCGCACGTGTGGCCGATATCGTGGGGTTAGTATATGCATATAACTTTGGGTCGAAAGGTTTATTGGTTCTTATTATTCATTATTGTTTTCTTATATATGTTAAACTCTCAATTAATTTATGCCTATATTGAAGTAAGTAAATACAAGAAATCAAAAGGAAAAATTAACCTCCAGTCGTTTATATTTCAGGATTCTCATTCAGATTATTGTGGTGGTTTGCGTATTTGTGTTCAATTTAGTGAGGTTAGTATATATATATATATATATATATATATATATATATATATATATATATATATATATATATATATATATATATATATATATATATATATATATATATATATATACACGTACCTTTTGGGGTTTTCAGGTGACCATCCTTATAGTGTAGTTAGATTTATTTCGAGCTAGTACTTAGCTTGCTAGTCTTTTTTTACGATTTAGGTTTATTGATTCTCATTATTCATTATTGTTTTCTTATATATGTTAATTAATTAAAAGAAATTTATAATAGAACTCATTTCTTATATTGATTTTATATATAAATCCCAAAACCTATAAACTGAAAAAAAAAAACCAAAACAAGGGTCAGCTGTAATATTTTTTTAATTTGAATAATGTGTGAAAAAAAAAACCAAAATAAAGGTAAGCCGCATTATGAATTTTAGAAAGAAAAAAAACATTGATCGTATTGTTTTAATTTCAGAATATGGATGCTACTAAAAGTCGTCTGTACATATGATTCTTTTTTCTTTTCCCTTCTGACATCGTTTCTTATCAGGCTGTATTTCGATTTTGGCGATGATTGCTACAATCATGAAATGAAAGAGAAGGGAATTCTTTGGCGCATCTTCTTCTCTCCATTAACGAGGAAGAAGGCATTTATAATATCATGTATTGCAGTGTCAATAGATCCTTTGTTCTTTTACATTCCAGTCATCGATGAGAAGAACAAGTGCCTTGGAATAGACAAAAGGTTGAAGACTGCAGCTCTTTGCTTGCGAGCACTTCCTGATGCCGCTTTCGCACTGCATACTATAAATTATGTGTTTATACTAGTGAAAGGGCTGCTTATAAGGGTGCCCTGGGCTTGGCTGCCAGAGCTTGGTGCTTTTGTATTCCTCGTTGTTGGAATACTTGGAATACTTGGAATACTTGTCTTCAGCTTTATTCATATATTACTAGGCGGTTTCCTTATCCTTCCCATCCCACAGGTAAGAGATTGAAATCTCAACTTTTGTTGCTTAAATAATGCAAACGTTTGAGTTCCTAAATAAGCTTTTAATTAGGAGATATACCTATTTCATGCTAAAAGGTCAAAATGAAGATCACGTGTGTAAATGAAGAAAATGCATGAGCAGAAAATTGATTTTAGTATTCTGCTTTATTAGTATGCAGTCAAGAAAACCGATAGGAAGACAAAAATTAATATACCAACACATGCATAAAACTCACAAATCGTATTCTCCTAATTAGGTAGACCACGACACTCGAACTTATTTGGTAGATAGTTAACATCTTTTCTACTTAGGTACCCATATAACATATAGCATACCTTTAATAAAGGTGAAAAACTTAGAACATAGATTGAAACAAAAAAAAAAATTTAACAAAATTCATATGCAAACATGTATAATCAACAAAGTCAAATAATTCAGAGATAACAAAAATAATCAAACACCAAATATCAACTTTACATCAGACGACTACTACGTATTGTTGCAACAAACACATTCAAAGTGAATTCATGCATGAGGTTGATTAGAACTCCTCATCCATTAGATTGTTAATGTACACTTATAAGATGTTGTTTTACCTTCGTCTGCATAGTTGTACTTGAAATATTTATTTTGCTTGTCTTAAACGGAAAATCAGTCAAGGTCAACCTTTTCTCTATGCGTTAGATTTTGCTTATTCACTCTGGTCTCTAACCAGCTGTTTTTTTTTCCCAGTTGGCAATACTAGTTTTCTTTTTCAAGTCAGGAGGCTCTGGACATTTCGGCCGAAGAGTGACCACCCTGAACGTGTTCCTTGTTATGCATTATCCGGCCAGGGTTTTCTTAATCTACAGATTCAGTAAATATCTCAAGAACAAAACCAAAACAGGGGTTCAAGCTGCATTATATTTTTTCTTCTACGTTCTTTCTAGTCATGTAAGTTTTTCATCACCATAACTCATAAATCACAATTTTATGTCTTATCTTTAGCTTTGTAATTGCTACACGACCAATGGCTCTTTTGGGACTATAATCACTTATAGAGAGAAACACCTTCCACGTGCTTTTTCATATAATCATTTCAAGTGATTTTGCTGGAAAGCACAAGGGAGAAGTGATTCTCCATAAAAGTGATTATTGGCCTATTCACAATCATTAATCAAAATTGGACTAATCTTTTTGAACATGATCTAATCATGAATAAACATTTTGTGATTAGGTACTTGGAGGTTTTTGGTATTTCTTTTCTATTCAACGAGAGATATCATGCTGGCATCAATTCTGTAAAAATGCTATAAGTTGTGGAGCCATTGATTATTGCAGTGGCAGTACTTCACGAAATATCACCTTCCTAAATGAGTTATGCCCGTCAAATCCACCAAATGCTACCGTATTTAATTTTGGAATATTTCTTGATGCCATTCAATATGGAATCACAAGATCAATGCATTTTCCAACCAAGTTCTTTTACCGCGTATGGTGGGGAGTCAGAAATCTAAGGTATGCATATATATATATATATGTTATGCTAAGGAGATCAACTTTAGATACCAACTTGTGTACCATCTCTCTAATAGAGGTGGAGCCCACCAATACAATGGGTCCCACACTCTATTAGAGAGTTGGTACACAAGTTGGTATCTAAAGTTGGTCTCCCTAGCATTTTCCATATATATATATTGTGTGTGTGTGTGTGTGTTTTAAGCTATTGATAGTCTAGAGGAATTTCATATACTTTTCCACTTCTAACTAGAACAGAACTTTTAAAATGGATGCCCTGTAGAATAAAAGTGGTTTAGGTATTATCATTTATTTACAAAACTATATGTCATTTTGGTTACAAGCATTTTTTTTTCTCAAATAATCCCTAATTCCTAGCATTTCAAAAATCCGGAATTTATTGAACATGATTTATTTTCGAAATCCCTAAAATTTCTCTAGTAAGAAAAGAGAGAGTTGAGAAAATAGTTGTGTAGTTTTCTTCTCATTGGCACCTTTATTTTCCTATTTGTGGTTACATGGATACCACACAAGAGACACTTTGTCTGAAGGACAGCTTGTTGGGTCCATTACAAATTTATTTTAACAATCCAAATTATCTATTTTTCACGTCTTGATTCATAAATCATCCTTGACAAATACAGTACTTCAAGAAAATATTAAAATGACAACCATGTCATTGAGTGGTAAAATGGATTTTGATTCAAGTAATTTTCTGTAAAGATGATATTTGAAGAAATACCCAAGAAAGAGTAATAAAGGGTTTGAATCATGCATATACAATATGAAATGGGTCTCACAGGAGTGCCAGCCCTCAAATAAGCTTATTTGAGGAATCTGTTAATTAAAACTCTATGAACATCCTATATATTTCATATCAAAACATATTCTATATATTAAATACTTAATTGGTTCTTGCAGTAACTTTGGTACGAATATGCAAACAAGCAGCTATGTGTGGGAAAACTGCTTTGCAATTATCGTTTCTTTGATTGGCCTGCTATTATTTTTATATCTCCTTGGAAACCTACAGGTACGCTGGTGTTGAATCATGTTCATGATAATTTTTTATAAATAAATAAAAAAGAATCATGATGAATATTTTCTTTTTTTGTTGATGAATCTCTTGATATTAGTAAATTTTTTAAATTATTATTCAGTTATTCGTGTGAAAGGATTTTCATCAATTTGGTCACTCACTTGTCAAATGTTAACATTATTTTATTTATAAAAAAATTGAAATATTAATTAGTTAGTTTAAAATTAATAAATATACATAAACTTATGTTATAAATTTTAATAATAAAATAAGATTATTTACGAGAAAAAAAAAAACAGCCCCTAGAACCTGAACCCGACAACCCCCAGCACCACTCCTCCCACCGCTCCCACTCCCAATCCCACCAAAACCCAACCCTTCCCCATCGCCAACTGCCACCCCCCAACCCGTGGCCACCATTTCCTCCGCATATCGCGACCCTGATTTATCCTCCTCTATGTCCAAATCTGATCGCCCCTAGCCATACCCGCCACCATAAATCCACACTCAACTCCACCAATCCGATCTGCTTCCAGCCGCAGCTATCCGAATAAAGTAACCAGAAACCCCACACCCAGTCACCACTTGAAATCCATAGACACCAAAACCAAAATCTCAAACACCAGAAAAATAAATCCATACATAAACAACAGAGACAATAAAATTATGGGAAGAAGGAAAAATGTGGTTTTTTTTGGATGGGGTTTGGTAGTTCGGGTGATGTCTTACTTCATTTTTTATTTTAATGAATATTTTAATAAATTTTTAACATAAAACTGACAAAGTGGCTTAAAATGTTAACGTTTGCCAACTCAATAACGGAATTAATGAAATTAAAAACTCAGATATTAAAATAGATTTTTGGAACAGACGGAATGATAAAAATGCAAGTTTTGAAGAGTTTGTACGCAAAATAATTCAGCTCCAGTACATTTTGCATTAGCGCCTCGAGCTTAACCGTATTTTTCAAATTTTGTCCATAGTATGGGTTCGATTACATATTCCTTTATCCTTTTCCTTTTCAGTGCATGGCTATGTTTATGCTTTTTTTATATAAAATTTTTCCTATTGAGAGGAACGATAATAGTTTAAAGTCACACATACTACATGAATGTATATAGTTTATGCATATTTAATATGACGAACTAGCTTCTTGTTTGTTATGAAACAGATATATATGCAACAAGCACTCCAAAAATCGTTGGATAAGAAGAAGTTAGGACGGAAGATAGATAAGAAAAAAAAGAAGATACAAAAGTGCATGAAAATGCATGGCATTTCAGATGATACGGTTGGAAAAATTTTGTGTGGTACTAGAGAAAACAAATTGGAAAAAAACATTGATGGTGAAGTGGATGTGAATTATATCTTCTATGTTTTGTACGAGTCTGAGAGAAGACTTATGTGCCAAGATATTTGTTGGAAGAAGCTGAAAAAAGTAGGTTCCTTTCCTCTCTCTTTTCTTGGTGTAAGTATGATAGTAGGGTTTTTAATTTTTAATTTTATTATATGAAATGGATATGAATTAAGGGGGTATTCAAAGTATTCTAATATCATGAACAGTATTTCAGTATTCACATCCAGGTTTTGTTTTGTTTTTCATGTGAAACTATTTTGAAATCTGAGGGATGTTTGTGTAATGTCTAGGACTTTGTGGGTTTTGTAAAAACACGAACAATCTCAAGAGTAGTTATTGTAAAGAAGGCCAAGAATCTCCTCTGTTGAGATGGGATCTAGGCGCAGTCTAATGGAAGTAGCAAAAGCATCATAGTCAGGAGAAACGCCATGTAGGGCATGACCAGTAAAATCTGAGTAGCTGCAGCCAAGCTGTCTGCAAGGTGTTTGATGTTTTGAAGATAGTCGAGCCAACGCTCTAGCTGTTCATGAGCCTACAATGTAGGGTCCAACGGTCTTAGATAAAGAAGCATGAATCCAAATGCGACACGTGCGATCCTTCTTGATCCATGGGTAAAAGATGGGTTCTCTTGCATGGTGGGATGACCATCGGTATCAAGGAGGAACTGAGGGTTGACATGGTTCTGTCCATCAAGAACACCTATCATATCATAGGTTTGAAGGATAGGGTAAGCTCTTTCCAAAGCATGTAATTGTCTTTTTGATGCTTAATGGGAAGAGGTTAGACGCATGTTGAATTGCTACTGGGGGATGATAAGAAGAAAGGGTAGGAGCTGGGGTTGAAAAAGAGGATTTAAAGAAAGGGTTGGTAAAGTCGGCCAGTTTAGGAAATAGCACATTGTGGTGTGGTGTGAAGGGAGTTGAGATTCCACCCCAAAATCAATTAGCAACGAAAGTAGCCTAACTAATTAGGAACCCAGGCCATAGCTTCCATGACAAACACTCTCAACAAACCAAACTGGAAATCCTACCATCAAGTAGGGACAAATACCACTACAATCAAGTAGGGACAAATACCACTAAAACCAAAAGATAGTTGGTGTTATAGTTTGTAAGGTTCCATCTATAGAAGTTCTCTCACAAAATATCATAAATGCAGGGAAACAAACGTTTATTATAGCAATGTTTAATCTTTTATAAGGAATTAATCAAAATTGAAATTTACATTAGGATTAGGATTAAATTTTCTGATATATATAGGTAAAGGAACTTCAACATATGAATGATGAAGCGTTGGAAATGATCTGCAACTATCTCAAGCCAAAGATCTTCAAGGAGAATGAGATGGTGGTTGAAGCGGGACACCCACTTAATGCGATGCTCATTATTATAGCAGGCTTTATGCAGGCGTACCTGCCAATTAGGGATGTTGGAGATGCACATCCCTCAACCTCATTTGAAACTCTTGACAAAGGTATGTTTGTTGGAGAACAACTTCTGGATTGGGCAGCGAAAACCAAAACTTTAGGTGACCAACCTGTTTCGTTCAAAACTATCCGATGTTCCAAAAAAGTAGAAGCCTTTGCTCTCACCGTTGATGACTTGAAAACTTTAGTGCACATCAAAGGCATCTTCCTGATGTCAAAAGGTGAAGTTTAGACAACCCTTGAAACTTGAAACAGTTGGGGCTTCTTTTTATTATTTTATTATTTTTATAATGTAGTTGGCACTAATTTGAAACAGTTGGCTTTCTCAATATTCATGCTGATGACTGGAGGATACGTGAGAAACGAGATGCGATATTGTTGTGGATGGGAAGAAATGACATTTCTGTTGATGTTGTGGTAGATATTATGCAGGGTTTTAGTAAAAACAAATTGGAAGAAAAAATAGATGATGAAGTGGATGTGAATTATATCTTTTCTGTTTTTGAAGAATATGAGAGAAGCATTATGCGGCGTTATTTCTGCATGGAGGCTCTGAAAAAAGTAGGTTCCTCTCTCTCTCTTTTTGTAACCCACTTATGTTACAACTCTAACTAAAATTGAATTTTTGAATCAAATGCTGCCATTGAATCTCTCTTTTAATTGGTAACCCTTTTTTTCACCACTTGTTTTCTATGTTGATATGTTTGCTGCTAGGGTTTATTACAAGAATAATATCTCTCTCAATTCATTCATTTACACAAAGGAAAAACGTATATTTTTTCCTATACAAGAAGTCTACAGAATTAGAACAAAAGAATACAAGGAAGAATAAGCCTTGGCTCATCCATATCCCTTCCACGTAGGTACCGTGTGAGGTGGCTGCTTGCTGGTTTTGGTGCAAGTTTTTTGAGTGCCTTAAGCATTTCTTTTCTTCTCTTTCTAGCCGTTGGATGATTTGATTGTTTTGTTTCTTAACATACGCTCTCAAGCGGACTTGTGTTGAGACAATGATAAGCTTGGAACTCAAGTGTTGAAATTGGGCTTTAGGTAAGCTCTTGGTGAAGATGTCAGCAATTTCATAAGAAGAAGAAACATGGCTGATGGAAATGGAGTTACTGGTGACAAGTTGTCGGATATCATGGTAGCCAGTTTCAATGTATGTGGAACATACACATGCTGAGATGGATAATGGATATATAGACCAAGGATAAAGAACAATCTTGGATCTCTTAGAAGGAATTAATCAAAATTGAAACTTAGACGACGATTAGAATCTGATTTTCTGATATACGTATATAGGTAAGGGAGCTTCAACATATGAACGATCGTGCATTGGGAATGATCTGTGACTGTCTCAAGCCAAAGGTGTTCGAGGAGAATGCCAAGGTTGTTGAAGTGGGAGAGCCACTTAACGCGCTGCTCTATATTATAGCAGGCTCTATGAAAGTGTACCTGCCAATTATAGATGCTGGAGAAGCAGCTCCATCAAACTCATTCGATACTCTTGAGAAAGGTATGTTTTTATTTATTTTTATTTTTTTGGCCAAATGATAGTCTGCATTTCATTCATTTGAAACTCTTGAGAAAGGTATGTTTGTTGGAGAACAACTTCTGTATTGGGCAATGAAAACCAAAGCTTTTGATGACCAACCTGCTTCGTTCAAAACTATCCAATGTACCAAAAAAGTAGAAGCCTTTGCTCTCACAGTTGATGACTTGAAAACTTTAGCGCTCTCTGGAGACATCTTCCCGATGAAGTTTAAAGGTGATCTTTAGAGAATCCTTAGCCATTGAAACTTGAAACAATCGACACCTTTTTTTTTTCTGTTTTTGATCACGAAGTTGGCACTAATTTGAAACAGTTGGACTTCTCAAAATTGCTACTGAGCCGAAGATACGTGAGAAATTAGAGGTGATATTTTTGTGGATGGCAATAAATGGCATTTCTGATGATGTGGCGCTAGATATTATGCGTGATATTAGTCAACATAAATTGGAAGAAAACATAGATGCTGACGTGGATGTGAATTATATATTCTCTGTTCTTGATGAATGTGGGAAAAGCATTATGCGGCGCCATTTTTGCAAGGAAACACTGAAAAAAGTAGGTTCCCTTTCCTCTCTCTCTTTTCTTGGTGTAAGTATGACAGTAAGGTTTTTAATTTAAATTTTATTATATGAAATGGATATGAATTAAGGGGATATTCAAAGTATTCTAATATCATGAACGGTATATGCACAAGTCATACATTTTTTTATGTATCTAAACAAATGACGTGGATTTATCACAAAAATTGCAATATTAAATGCAAATTTACTTTTAGTTTATGTGTTTCGTTCTACAGCAATGGATCATAAACAAAATATTACAATAATTGTTTAATCATTTATAAGGAATTAATCAAATTGAAACTCATACAAGGATTATAATATAATTTCTGTTATATATAGGTAAACGAGCTTCAAAATATGAGTGATTACGCATTGAACACGATGTGCAAGTATCTCAAGCCAAAGATGTTCGAGGAGAAAGCCATGGTTTTTGAAGGGGGACAACGACTTAACTTGATGCTTATTATTATATCAGGCTCTATGCAGGCGTACCAGCTACCAACCAGGGATGCTGGAGAGGCAGCTCCCTCCGCCTCATTTTACACTCTTTAAACAGGGACGTTTTTTTGTTTGGGGTGGGGGGGGGGGGGTGGGGGGTGAAACAGTAGTTTGCATTTCATTCATTCCAAACTCTTGAGGCAGGTATGTTTGTTGGAGAACAACTTCTGGATTGGGCAGTGAAAACCAAAAATTTTGATGACCAACCTATTTCGTTCAAAACTGTCCAATGTTCTGAAAAGGTAGAAGCCTTTGCTCTCACAGTTGATGACTTGAAAACTTTAGTGCATTCCAGAGACATCTTCCCATTGAAGTCAAAAGGTAAAGTTTAGTCAATCCTTAGCCGTTGAAATAGTTGACACTTATTCTTTTTTCATCTTTCTTTCTTACTTTTTTTATCATGTACTTGGCTCTAATTTGAAACAGTTGGAATTCTCAAAATTGTTGGAGACCCGAAGATAGATGACAAATTAGAGGTGATATTTTTCTGGATGGCAATACATGGCATTTCTGATGATCTGGCTCTCGATATTATGCGTGGTATTAGTGAATACAAATTGGAAGGAAGCAAAGATGCTGAAGCGGATGTGAATTATATCTTCTCTGTTCTTGATGAATATGGGAGAAGCATGATACGACGTTATTTTTGCATGGAGACTCTAAAAAAAGTAGGTTCATTTTCCTTTCTGAATTTTGTTGGTCGGAAGTATGTTCGTGAATCTTTTTATAGAACTTCTTTAGAATCTTATAAAAATAGGTGGTTATAACTCAAAAACTTTAAACATAATAACGCATCTATACTACCAATTCCAATTAAAATTCAATTTTTGAATCAAATGCCATATAGGATAAAAGGTGTCCATGTGTTTTGATTTATTTACAAATGATGCCATTGAATCTCCCCTTTAATTTCTTACCAAGTTTTCACAATTTTTAAGCAGTGCAATAATAATACCTCCATAGACATTTCTATTTCTACTTCCACAATAATTTGATTAGAGCAAACAGGATATTTGAAGACAACATTAAAAAAGATCATTAAAAACACTCAGGTGGAACATACAAGCTGAGATGCATCATAGATATATATAGCCAATGTTTAATATTTTATAAGGAAGTAATCAAAATTGAAACTTAGGAGGTTTAGAATCTAATTTTCTAATATATATAGGTAAAGGAGCTTCAAAATATGAACGATCAAGCATTGGGAACGATCTGCGACTATCTCAAGCCAAAGATGTTCGAGGAGAATACCCAGGTTGTTGAAGCGGGACAGCCACTTAACACGATGCTCATTATTATATCAGGCTCTATGCAAGCATACCAGCCAATAAGGGATGCTGGAGACGCACGTCCCTCAACCTCATTCAAAACTCTTGAGAAAGGTATGTTTTTTGGAGAACAACTTCTGGATTGGGCAGCGAAAACCAAAACGTTGGATGACCAACCTGTCTCGTACAAAACTGTCCGATGTTACAAAAAAGTAGAAGCCTTTGCTCTCACAGTTGATGACTTAAAAACTTTAGTGCTCTCCGGAGACATCTTCCAGAGGAGCCGTTGAAACTTCATACAGTTGGCACCTTCTTCTGTTGTTTTTTTTTTTCGGTCAATTGTAGTTGGCACTTCCTTGCAACAAGATTGATATGAGATACTAAACAATGTTTAAGATGAAATTACGACATGAAGATCGGGAGGAGGTTCGTTTGTTTGTTTGTTTTTTTATTTTTTTTTATCATGGATTAATATTTCTATTTTCTTCATTTTCATTTTGTGGTTTCCTTTTTTGAGAAATAAATTCTGTATGAAACATAAAAAAGAAGGCAAAAACCCGAAGATACGAGAAATTATGGAATGATACGGGGTACTATCAAGTCAGCGCATAGTACTCCCACTTAAATATGGTCATGTGTCCATTTTATAAAAGAAATTAATTATTATTTTACAGCTAGACTTTTTACTTTATTAATTCTTAACTTTTGAAATAAAATTAGAAAAAAGAAACTTAAACGAAGAAAACAAAACCCTAAACCATGGCAGCCACCCTTCTTTCTTCCTCTTCCTCCCCTCTCTCTTTCTATTCACCACTGCGAGTGGCGGAGCCATTCCTAGGCCTGGAGTGGCCTTGGCTCCCTTAAATTTTTATCCCTCCTCTATTATATTATATAGAATTTGTAATAAACAACTTATAAATTAAGTTAAAATTTCTTCTAAAATAAATTAGACGTGACTCAATTAGAAATATTTAGCTCTAAACATGTAATTATTAAATGCGCAGGTGTATGAACAGTACTATTGAAATTGGTACTTAGGTGACGAGGGGTAAATTTAAATGTTATACAAACAGACACAGCAATACTCAAACACTTTAAAGCTTGACTAAGTATAATTATAACTAGTCAACTGCTTAGTCATGAAAAACCATAACCAAGAACACACACATACATAGCATAAGAATCTACACCTGCAAGCCTATAAGATTACTAGTGACAACCTAAGCACTCAGAAGGACCCGTCAATCTAGGCATCCCCTGTGCTAGCAATAACTATGGTGAAAGTGTGAAAAACATCATAATCAAATAAACAGCAAATAGCAGACATTGATGACTAGTCAACCGCAAGAACACAAACCCAGAAATGCATGAACATCATGCGATGACTAGTCAACTGTCAAGAACACATACCCAGAAAAATAATGAATCTGCAAACCAGAAATTGTTCACCCAGAAATCCACCACTGGGAAAAATTGGGGGTCGTCAATCGACCAGGCAATCCACTAAGCAAAGAAGATTCTTACAAAAAAACACAAGCAAGCTCAAATAATCCTAGATCTATTTAGGAAGATGAGCTATACCTCATTTGTGCAATCTTCTTCTCCAACTTAGCAACGCTAGTAGTTTAATCCTTCATGGCAATGGCAACTAGTCCGTCAGCTCCTTCACTCCATGGCACCGGCGACACATCTCCAAATCGAACAAATATAATGAAATATAGATTTCGAGATGAAAGGGTCAATTCCTTCAAGAAACCATACTTTTGAAGAAATTGTGAAACCCCATAATTTTAAATATGTATATTAATATTTCATAAAATTAATTATTTATAATTATTAATTTTCAAAACTATATATATATATATATTAGTTAGTTGTATGGTAAGCTACGTGAATCTAGCTATAGCCTATCAAACCTCATTGTATGACTTTAACTATAGCAATTCATTTAATATTTATTCTACACACAAAACCTTTTAGAAATGTATTGGTGCTTACTAAGTTTCTCTTAAAAGTGACGTGTTGCATTATAGAGTCTTCAAAAACCAATTGAAGCATGAGGTGGTATATTTTGGTATGAGGTGTAAGAACAATAGATATTCTTATATATATAAATGTAATTGGCAAGTGCTCACTAAGCACTCTCCAGAGCCAGCACCTAAGGATTAATTGGGGTGGCAGTTTACTTTCAGGCCACCCATGTAGTCTATAACTCCCTAGGATGTAGTCTAGAAATCCCTAGGCTAGTTTTGTAGCACAATGTTAAGCTTCATCTATATATTTTTTTGCCGACTCTAGCTTACTATAAATAGCCTTACCTAATAGTTCTTGAATCATAGGTTCTTCAAAGTTGTGTTAGTTTCTTAAAAATTCGAGAGTGAAAACGAAGTGTGATAAGATTTTGGAAAAACTCAACTGGGAGTTGTACAATAGCTTTGGATTTGAGGTAGGGGGTTTTCTTGGGGAGATTTCGCTTACATTGATTTAATTAAATATTGTAAATACTATATTATGCTTGGTAATATTATTTGATTATTATTGTAAATCCT